GGGAGATGGAAGTGAAAGCGGACATGGTCGAGAGTTGGGAAAGGTGCAGATGCGAGATGCAGACGAGGTGGTTGTAGACTTGTAGTGCAGTGCGGAGAGTTCTTCACACTGCACCATATTTCATATAAGAAGTATGGAGCACTCTTTCGTTGCCCAGCGAGTACTGGTTTCTTAACTTGTCCCTCGGTTTCATTGCAGTCTGTGTTGCTGCCCATACTGGCAGCATGGGAGGGAGAGGAAGGTGGGGGGGGGCTCTCCGTTTTAGGAACAGGTGGAGGGAAATGACCAGGAAGCAGGCCGGAACTGGTTATGAGGGAGGGGGGGTAGTGGAAAGTGCTACTGTGGAAACGACAGCCGGTTATGAGGATGTAGCAGAGGGGTGCAATTGTGGAAACCACCACTTTAATAGAGGGTGGGTGGTAGGAAAGAGGGACGACCAAGTGGCCTTTCTGCTTCTTTGTCATGGGCAGTTGTGCGGAAAGAGACCTAAAAGCGGAAGATGCCACGGTCAAGTTTGCCGACTCGAAGTAGGCCGAAACTTGTTATGAGCAGAGCGGACTGCAGATGCTATTCTCAAATCGGCTGCCTTAAACGACCAGTACACCCGGGCCTGCAGGCCCCTTGCTGTGCACCAAGGTTTTCCGAACCGCCAGCGGCGCACTTTTTTGTTTTATATAGCTGACGCTGCCAGCCATCGCGGTCCGGTAGGCCGAGCCTCCGATTTTTTTGTAGGCCATGAGTTTCTTTCTCTGCAAGGCTGGGGCGATGTACTGGCCGTTTAACCGAGGGCATGGTGCGGGAGGAAACAGGACAAGAACGGCGACGGGTCGAGAGAAGGGGAGGGGAGGGAGTAGCTAGGTGGTGAAGAAGCGAGTGGATGGAAATTAGGCTCCTTATCCATGGACAATAATTCTTAAAGAAGACGATCTGGCATATGGAAGATGCTATCACAAAGTCTGCTTGTGTGCAACAGAAAGAGGTTAGGTGGAGATGTTGGTTGGGATTAAATGAGATGCGAAACTTGTGCGTTAGGAACATCTCAAAGGGCAATCAGTGCGGTGTGTCTTGACCGAGCAAGGGACGAGGAAGAGCCTTTGCTGGATGCTGATTGCTTAGAGTGTCTGGCATTCCATTTGTATTTCCCTTGATTTACCAATTAGTTAGCTAGTCAAGTGCATTATTGCGGCGGCGCCGGCGGGTTAATATCGAGTAATTACTAGAAGGCAGCATTTTTGTAACTTGCGATGTCAGGTTCTGGATCCAAACGAGGCGTGGGATGTGCTCACCTTGACTGGTAAATGCGGGGTACCAGCATCATCGGATGTGTTCTTCAACCGATGCTCGAAGGTAACGAGGGAGGGAGGAGGCAATTTGCGATCGCACATAAGCTGCAGTCATTGCAGTGAAATGTGAATAAACTGTGTGCGAGACGGTTAGGTTCCCAGATCATAGGGTTGTATGGGAGCGAATGAGCAGGCAAGGAAGCACGTTTGTGCGGGTGTTGGGTGTATGAGGTGGCAGATGGCAAGGAGTGTATATCTTCGTAGGTCTTTTACTATAGGCCATTTGAGGCAGCAAGCAAGGTATTAGGTTAATGACCGAAACTCAGCCAAGTAATAAGTCATCCTTTCATTTCATTTGGTGTCTTTACCATGTATGTATGTGTTAAACTGTTAGTTTGTAAAGTCACCACTCTTAGTACTGTCTTCTTTTTTAATTTGGCTTTTTTTTTTGGGTTGGGGGGGGTGGGGGGCGTGGGGAGCTAACTCGTGCTCCTTTCTCTGACTCGGGTGGGGTAACGATGTGTTCTTCAACTGCCTTGGGCGACGGGTACCTCCTCCCTTTTGGAAGGGAACATCATTGCAGACGTGATATCTGATACCCCTAGTACTAGGCTTACCTACGTAGATGAGGATGATGCACTTCACTCACATATGAAGGATCAAGTGCATCATCCTCGTATTACAGAGGAAGAGGTTTACGTGATACTCCCCGTTCTGAAAACTGCGACATCTTAACCCAGACATAACTTCCCACCTTCGACGTTGCAGGGGTGCCCTTCTTGTTAGCGGATTCGGTCGTGGAATGTTGTTGCTTGTTCCTTGCTGCAGAAGCAACTTTGAGCAAGCGATCGTACCAGGCGACATTGTAGCCAGGAATATCGGGCGTCGTACCAGGCGACCGAACGGGGCGTCGTACCAGGCGACCGATCAGGGAACCAGAAGGAGAGAGGATTGCAAGTCTGCCAACTGCAGTGCAACCAATTCGGTGTTGTTATGGTGGCGGAGTGAATGAAGTTGTTATACAATCCCTTCACTACATGCAAATCTTGAGTTCTTCTGTTCCGAACCGCAGTTGGTAATATATTCTACTATAATTCCCATATTTACGATCCAAATGAGTTCTGGTCGGAAACAGGAAGAGCATGAAGGAGTTGTGTAACAGTCTGGTTGATCTCCGCAACTAATCGGGATGTCGATCAGATGTCATTCTCGACTGGATGTCGTGGAGCTGAAAAAGTGAAGTTCTTCCGATCTGCACTTCTAATTGGGGTGTCCCAATCATTCAGAAGAGTTGTGGGGGTATCATGTTCCCGAATGTACTTCTGATGGAATTCATGAATTACGAGATCAGTTGGGGCATGAGGTGGCAAAATAACCAGATTCAGAAATTTGAAAAAACGGTTGACAATCACCACGAGTTGCGGATACGTCCTCACTTTTCTTTCCCATATCCTTGGAAGTGGATAGAAATTGACTCGCCAGGACCGGCAGGGATGGGGGGAGGTTTAAACCACCACAATCTCCGCACCTCTTGTTGCCGAGGCACCTATCTCTGGGCATTGAGTTTGCCGAACCTGGTATTTGCACACCAACTCGTTTTTCTTTTCTGATGAAAGAGAAGGGAAAAAAAAAAAAAAAAAAAAAAGGACCATCCGTAAGGCCATGATTGCTGCCGCGTACATTCTATGAAGTGCTGGTGTGGTATTGCCCTCAGTGAGAGTGTCAGTCTGAGACAACGGAAGGATTTTAAAAAAAAAAAAAAAAAACAACTTACCATGTGATAGTGGTCAGATACACGGCGCTCCAGTGCTAGTGTGTTTGTGCCCTCAGTGAGGGCGTTGCTGCCTCTCTGGCAGGGCACTGCAAGTAAAGTGCTGGTGTAGTATTGCCCTCAGTGAGGGCGTCAGTCTGAGACCAAAAAAAAAAAAAAAAAAGCATCCCTTATGATGTGATTGCGGCCTCCCTCGCAGCGCACTGCAACTAAAAGGAAAAAAGGGAAAAAAAAAAAACATTACTCGTGTTCCTGTAATATTGTAACGTGTGATATCAACCACTTCAATAGTGCTTCTTGTCATCCGGTTGTGACAAGTAGCTAGTAATGTTTGAAAAGATGTGCAGAATGGAGAAAAGGAGAAAAAGGGGGGGAGAAGAGAGGAGATAGGAGAGAAGGAGATAGAAGAGAAGCGGGAAGCATAGACAGGGAAGCGGGAAGAAATTAGATGTGACACATTATGTCCCCGGACGCGACTCTAATTTTGAAAAATATGAAGATGAAGCTTGACGCTGGCGTAGGACCCTCTACCTTTTCACCTGGCCGCCAACTAGGATCATCAGGTGTCTTGCAAGTCGGTGCGGTGTCCATCAATAGACGTAGTTTATATACAACAGTCGTCGAAGAAACGACTGAGGCACCTTACGAAAACACGCCTGTTTGACCACTCAATCGCCCAAGAGCCGCACACTACTTCCAGCCTCCACGTTAGTAATAGCACTCATCAACCAAGACCCTAATGAAGACTAGATACACAATATGTCCTCGAACTAAGAAAAAGATAGGTCGACCCAAGAAACTGCTGGAATACAAACGGTACCTGCATCTTAACTTTGGCTAGGTTCATGGTGCAATCTCAACGAAAAAAACTTGACACGCCCTAACTTATGTCCAAGCCCAAGAGGTGCTTCGGGACATCTGTTAAAATTGGAACGATATAGAGAAGATTAGCATGGCCCCTGCGCAAGGATGACACGCATAAATCGAGAAATGGTCCAAATTTAAAAAAAAAAAAAAAAAAAAAAAGTCTAAGCCCAAGAGGGTCGCGAGATCAAATCGTAGAGGGGCAGAGGAAAAAAATCTTCAACCATGATACTGCCGAGAAAAAGAGGAAAAAGAAAAGGAAGGGTCCTCATCAATCAGTTATAACCCAGAAAACCCACTTGAAAAGACGGTTAAAAAACAGGCCCCAGGATTGAGTCAGGACCCAACATGGATACTTCAAGATCCCCACGATGCATGAATCAACTAAAGAAAAAAAAACAAAAAGGAAAGGAAAAAAGCAGGCCACAAACAGAAAAAAGTTCAAAAAACCCACAAGTGTGCAGACAAAGAGGCAAAAGAAACCCCCTCGAACAGAACGCTGGTTGGAAACCGACCTGTCCCCTAAATGCGAGGACCTCTCAAGATCCCACCCAGTTTACCCAGAAATCGGCCCCAGTTGGTTAATTCCGGTAGCCACTCCGTCCATATATCACCAAACGTCCCCGAGAAGTTGGCCAGTGCATCATCGAAGAAACAATCGGGATACCCCCTCCTCCATAACTCTCCCATTTAAGGGAAAAGAGAAAAGGAAGTGGCATTCCCTCGAAAGAAGTGAAGGCCCTGGCCCGATGAAGAAAGGAAGAGATCACTGCGATCTTTTGTTGCTTCTTGGTACTAATCTGCCTCGAGTGTCTTCCCATTGATTCTTCGTCATGGGAACGCACAGTGCTCCTGTTTTTCCCTCACAGAACTGAAGTTGACAGCCCAAGAAGTCCCAACGATCACCCTTACTTGCTGAAGGAATCAATCAAACGAGCTGCCTTTATCTGATCGTCCTTGCAGCCTTTCTTACAGATCACGAAGACTGACACATCATCAACTAAATGAAAACCCTTGAAAAAACGTCTGTCGACACCAAGACTGAGTAATAAACAGAACTCGTTGTAAGCACATAGTAGGCAAGATAGCGCGGGACTTGATGATTTCCCTATAGGGATTCCCATGATTTGCCGAAGCAGTCGTCCTGAGGTAAACGTGTTGCTTAATTCGAAAGAGATGACGTCGATAACGGTGGAGAAGGTGAGTTTCTTCCATCCATCTTCACATTTGCTTTTCAACAATCTTGCACTTTTTCCTTGCTTCATGATTGGAACACCAACCATCCCTTTGTCAACCCAAAAATCAATCACCCAGGCCAGCGATCGGAAGATAGATTGGTGGTGGCCCTGGTGGGTGACTTTCTTCCATCCATCTTCGCATTTGCTTTTCAACAATCTTGCACTTTTTTGCTTCATGATTGCAACACCAACCATCCCTTCGTCAACCCAAAAATCAATCACCCAGGCCAGGAATCGGAAGATAGATTGCTGGGGCAAATTGGAAAACATTTCCTTAACATCAAAGGATGCCCCCACCACCTCGTCGCCTTTGAACAAGTCCATGTTAACCTCCTTCAGACAAGCAGGCAAGTCATCGACACTACGCAGATTCAGATGCGAAGCCTTCGGTAAGTTCCATAACAAGGTGTTGACAGCTCGTGCCACGATTTAACCCCCAGCAACCGATCCCTCAGGATAAGACGGACAGATCGACCTCCGTCTCTGCAAATCTTTGTGTTTTGGTAAACAATACATCTTCCCACGCTACCTTTTTTGTTCCATTTGCTGATTTGACTGGAATTGGCTCGTTCATATTTTCACGCCAAGCATCCAACAGAGATTCCTCTGATTTCCCACAAAGCTCAAAGGAAGGATTACCGAAAGAAAGCTTCTTCATCCTTTTTTCAAATACCATGGGGCAGCAACAGAAAGTATCCCCCGGATTGTGGTCGCATGGAGTGCGCACTAAACCGCGTAGCTGAGACTGAATAGATAACAAATTATCTTCATAGAAAGATAGACGGTCGATTTTGGTAGACAGGAGACAGTAACTCAATAGACCATTAGTCAACCTTCGAGAACCGATACGAGGTAGGGACGGATGAGAAAGGAAAGCAGATAACACCTGAGATCTCAGTGACTGGATAGAGCAAGACTGAGAAGGCTGTAAAAAGAAATAAAATTATTCTTTACCCAATCAGGAAATAAATCAGACTCATTAGGACGGAAGGATACATGGCCTTCGACCCGAGGGAGTGAAGCCCCAGAGGAGTCACAAGAGCAGACGGCCAAAAAAAACTTGGAGGACTGTCAAAAGTTGTGAATAAGATCCCCCACACTTTTATTTCGACTCCAGACAACATGCATACAACGAGTCAACATCATCTTCCACTCCTGATCAATCTCCAAACACCAAAGAAGATTTCCGCACAATTGCAGATGGACGCATCGTAGACTCGGACCACGGACCACGAGTCTCTTTTTAAAACAGATGTCAAAACGAGAAGAAATACTCCGTGAGAGTAGGCACCTCAACTGGAATCGGATTCTTTTTTCGCTACTTATTTATCCAAATCCCAATCGAGCAGAGTGCGTCAACTACCAGGATTGCTCAGAAACTCTGCTAACGGACCTTTGCGAGCGAATGATCTGCTGAGAAAATGGACGATTCGTTCAAACATCAAAACAATACCACTTTTCAGCCAACCACAACCATGACGAAATTCCATACAGCCGAAAATATAGGACACCACGCTCCCGCCATATAGTCTTTTAAGTACTTTCCATCGCTCAATGAACCTGTCACCTTCACATCATCTGATCACGATGTAGTGAGTGGACTGAGACCTACAGGCTTCCAAGATTCTCAGAAGACTACGAGACACAATACCAAGACTGGAATGAAAGGTAGTAGTTTTTCCCTTCCCTACGTTCAAAGGCCCGATAGTTTCACCCTCTTCTTTTTCCTCAAGCGTTCTCTCAAACTTTTACGAGACTTTCGGGGCCTCTTGGATTTATCCTTGCTATTAAGAGTGGGAAAGAACAACCTGATAAAATAGTTCTTTGTTTTTAGAAGATCATCAGGAAGACATCGACATAGTGGAATAACTACATAAGAGTGCGCCCCACGTCGGCATAGCCATCGGTATAATTTTTTGTGTCTCTTTCCTATTTTGAATGCCTTAACCTGGCATGCACGATACACATGCTCCCTCCAACGGGATTGAAGATCCCTCTGAGCACTACGAATATAGAAACGACGCGGCCAAGGGGAGAAAAGAGCGTAGACCGTAGGACCATCTCGTTCATCATTACTACCATCACAGTGCAACAAGTAGGAAGGAAGAAATCAACGAGTTTAGATCCCCAAGGACTTGCATCACAAAGGATTTA